TTTAATCGACAGCCCGAATTATTAACGAAACTCACGGGGTTCTGCATCCTGTTACTGTTAGGGTCGGTTCTGTATAATCAACCAAGACCTTGCATTATCAGATGCAGATTCCAAGTGGATGATGGTGCTACCATAAGTGCTCTCGATAGAGAGGTCCGGTGCGAGCTGTCTAGTGTTTCTCGGATCAGTTTACTATATTTTCTCATCAATTAGTACGGGGTGTTGTCGTTTAATATTGTCATGGACGGCCTTTGGCGACCATTTCTTCTTTCTTTTTTCCTTTGTATTTCTTTAAAAAACTGGTGTTAATGAAATACATTCTTTAGTCTATTGATTCACAGATTTACAGTCTTGATCGCTAAAAAACCAAATGACCCTCTCAAAAATCAAAGAAGCAGTAATGACAGACAACACCAAATAACTCCTTCCTATTCTCAATGGAAAGAATTATACCTCCTGGTATGGTCGCATGAAAGTACAGCTCTGCGGAAAGGACCTTTGGCTTGTCTGTATCACTCCTCCGGCCGAAAGCACGACTGCTACGGCTTCCCGCTGGCGCAACAACCGTCTCTGCCCTTGAATTCTTGACGTCCAGTGATCGGGCCATCTCAATTATTGTTCCTTGTTTGAGCCAACACTGCTATAATGAGTGCGTCAACAGTACAACCATCGACAGCACATACCTACTTTGGAAGAAGATCGCGGATCAATACGCCTCCAGAACTGTCATCAATCAGGGGCGCGTGTACATGACTTGGTTGGCCCTATTATATAAAGGAGATCTTCAAGCCTATATCAATGAGACTTGAGCATGCTTGATCAATATTGATGCTGTTGGGATTAACGTTCCTGTGAAGGTCATCACCTATCTTATCCTTGGTAAACTAATGAATCAGGATCTAGACCAGATTTTCAATAAGTTAGCTCTTGACAAGAAGGTTATTTCTGACCCTTACGCCGTGTTAAACAAACTTCAAACTTATCAGACTCATAAATTCAGCAAAACAGAAAAAAGTGTTGCTCTCTTCACTTCGACTCCTTCCACCACAAAACCAAAATTTCCGACAAAAGTAATCCATCTGTGTGACTTTAAAGAACATAATCCAGATTCTACTCATCCAGAGCATCATTGTTTTGAGAAATATCCTCACCTCAGAAACTCCTCCAAATCTGAAAAAAATCCAAGCGCCAGTTTTGCTTGTGCAGATGCATTCGTCACATACGTTCGTCTGCATTCCGACAACTCTATTATCATTGACTCGGCCGCATCTCACCATATGATTCGAGATTGATCACTCTTCACCTCCTTTGTGAAACAAAAAATCACAATCAATACCGGGAATCCTTCAGCTCCTTTGATCGTTGAAGGACACGGATGTGTCTCGCTTCAAATCAACGACCAAAGGATTGATCTGACAGACTGTCTCTTTGTCCCTGGAATCTCACAGCAACTTATCTCTCTAGTCAGATTGATAAATTGCTCTGTCACCATCAAGAAATCCGGTGATCAATTCGAAATCATTGACGAATCCGGTACCTTGTTCTCTGGGCAAATCATTGACAACTTGCTACATTCTGCTTATTCAAACAAATCACACGCTCACTTCAGCAAGAAAGTCGATGATTCTCATGAAATCTGGCATCAACGTCTAGGCCATCCCAATGAGTCGGTCATGAAAAATATGAAGCTTCCTGGACCAATTGATAAAACCGTTTGCGAGGTGTGTATATGTTCCAAGATGACTCTCTCTCCTTTCTCCAGTCATTTCTCTCTAGTTCATTCCCCACTTCATCGGATTCATATGGATCTAGTCGGTCCAATCAAGCCGTCTTCCCTCTCTGGTTTCAGTCACTTTCTCACGATTGTTGACCAATTCTCTTCCTTCAAATTTGTCCGCTTTCTTAAGGCCAAATCAGACACTCTCGCTACCCTCAAAATCTTTGTGAAAGAAGTTGAAAATTCTCAAAACTGCAAAATCAAGGAAATCGTCTCTGACAACGGTGGCGAATTCACCAGCATTTTATTCAAAAAATTCACTGAAGATCAAGGCATAAATCATATTTTTTCACCGCCTGAAACCCCTGAACATAACAAATTCACTGAGCGGGCTAATTGTACTATACTTGATAAGGCGCGCGCTCTGCTCTTAACCAGTAATCTTCCAAAGAAGTATTGAGCTGAAGCTGTGAACACTGCAATGTTTGTATCTAACTTATTATCTACTCCATCTCGTTCAAACTTCTCGCCTTACGAACTTTGGACTAAATCATCTCCTCCGTTGCATAGAATCAGGACTTTCGGTTGCAAGACTTTTATTTGTTTTCCAAAGACTCATTGCTCTTGGAAGCTTGGGAATAAGGCTGAGGTCGGTATTCTATTGGTTTTTGAAAATGAATGGACCGTTTTTCGTTTTTGTTAGAATTCTTTTCCTTTCTTATTCTCATCACATTATAACGTGTTGTTGTCTTTTCTTTTGTCATCTACTGCTTTAGGTGATTATTTCTTCTTTCTTTTTTCCTTTGTATTTCTTTAAAAAACTGGTGTTAATGAAATACATTCTTTAGTCTATTGATTTACAAAAGTCTCCAGAAATTTGGGGTGAGCCTCCAGACCTCATAAAGGAAGGGCACTCGCTTTGCCAGTAAGAGACCTGCACATGTACTTCTATCGGAACATTGGGAGAGAAGGAGTTGATTGTTCCATAGGAAGTCAACCAGGGGCCTGGAACATGGAGAGAAAGCATCATGGGCTTAGTAGTAATCATATAAGAGGGGAGATTGGATTGGCTCAGTCGATTAGCGTAAGGGACAGATTTGTCGACAAAAGTAAAGCAGATCGTGCCATCATGAGCAACAGAAATTGGCTCGGTAATTAGTCGACTTCCTTTGATGGAGTACAGTCTCCTCCCAGATGTTTATAGCCATCTGTTTTGAGCTCCACACCTGGAACCCAAAAATTTCAAGTCACAAGAGTTGGTGGAATGGTGGAAAATGGGTCTCAAAGAATGAATATGAAAAAATAATAATGATCAACAAGATTACAAAATTTGTAAAGAGTAAAAAGGAGAAAATTACAAAAACTGACAGCTCTAATATTTCTTTCAGGAAAAGATGGAATCTCCAAATTGATAGTATGAGATCTGGAATGAGTAATAAGAAGTGAAAATTTGGAAAAAAATGACTACTTGGTGGTTTAAAAAGGGTACCTAGGGGGCCATTCATCAGAAAATGTGGCATTCTGGTACTGCAATCTACTGATTTTGACTGCAGGGTGTCCACCCACCATGCTCAAAAATTTTTGGGATTAATATTTTTCATTTATAATCATTCTTTTCATGTTCAAAACTTGCACTCTGTGTGTTCACTTTTCACTCAAACGGAAAATTATAGTTTTCAAAAAAGATTCATCTCCTTTATCTGTCCACAAATTTTTAAATCTTGATTTTTATTATTATTTCTTCAATTCAATCCTCGAAACCCATTTCCACCATCCCACAAACTTTTGGTGACTCAAAAGTTTTGGGGTTCCCACTGGGAAGCTCCAAAACAGATGGCTATAAACATTTGCGAGGAGACTGTACATTGAAAAGGGGAGGAAACCCTCTCGGTCGTTGAGTTGTACACCCTCGATGGCCGAGAATTGAGTACTATGATTAAATACATGATGATTTGAACGAAGAACTTTAGGATAGAGGTCAACAGTTGTAGGAGAATAGACAGGTTGAAATTTTTGGTATCTGCATCAAAAATAGAAAAGAGAATCAGTGAAAGGAGGCCGGAATAAGTAAGAATAAATCCAATTTGGTATGAACAGGACTGATTGATCCGGAGAGGAGGCCAAAGAAAGAAACATTTGTCTTTGCTGGCTCCAAGGTGAATTCGGGGGGGGGGGGGAAGTAGAGGAACAGAATCTACTGTTTTAGGATGATTCAGATTGAAATATGAGGATCGAGAGGCTGACTGTTCCGGACAATGGGCCAAAAAAGGGGCATTGGTGTTGACGGGCTTCCAAGGTGAACTTGTGGGGGATAGAGGAGTTGAACAAAATTACCTGTTTTAGGATAATTCAAGCGAATGTTGCGAATAGGATAACACTGTGGCTGTGTTGCGTGGAATCAGAGAAAGGCAAATGCCATGGTTGCAAAAGAGAGAAACAGGACAGCGGTGCCGGGGGTTGAATTTCACTGGGTCTGGATGAGACAAAACAATAGATCAGAAAAGGTATATAAGAGGAGGCCTGGGGGGCTATTTTAACGGCATGCCAAGGTTCAGTGGGAGAATTAATGTCTCCTGCGATATTGCTTGTAGTGATACCTTCAAGTGCAGTTTGTTCATGGTTTATGGTTAAACTTGTTTAATTCTCTCTCTGTTTTGTCTCCCCAAGAGACTTATTTTGTTATTTTTCTCTATGATTACAAAAACATAGTCTCATTATATGTACAGAAGCAAGTAAATTAAAGATTATTTAGTCATCCAAAAAGTCATATAAACCTTCAAGAAAGTTTAAAGTTGTGGTGTTCTTTACAACGAGGTGAACCAATCATAAAGATAAACTTGCAGGGTTATGTAGATATATTTCAATCCAACAAATGCAAATGCTCTGAGCAGGGCTTGGATCAGCGGTGGGCCGCTACGCTACACTACGCTACGGGCCCATGTAGTGTTAGCGTAGCGGCGCCAATTTTTTTTCGTGTAGTGTTAGCGCGCCGCTACGGCCGCTGCGCTACGCTAACTTGTAGCGGCGCTAACACTAGCCATTTTTTGGTGTAGTGTTAGCGCCCCGCTGGCGCCGCTACGCTACAGCGTTTTTAGCGGCAAAAAACGCCAAAAAACCGCCAAAAACTGCTGTAGCGCAGCGTAGCGGGCGGTTTTTTGCGCCCTGTGCGCGTAGCGTTAGCGCAGATGGGGAGAATTGCGCTAACGCTACGCTAAACGTTAGCGCATTGTTTTGCCCCGTGCGCGTAGCGTTAGCGCTGAAAATGAAAAAAGCGCTAACGCTACGCTACATTGTAGCGATTTTTCGCTACACTACGCTACGCTAACGTTACAGTTAGCGTAGCTGGCCCACCGTTGCTTGGATGGCCTAGCGGTAACCATCACCCACGGAAGCTCAGTGTCTCCCCTGCGACAACATAGTATAATCACTTCGAAGAGAGTGGCGAGTCCGGCGTTTGAATCCCGGCAGACCCAACCCCTGGCCGCTACCACTTCCGATCTTGGACAACTACACACTACCTCATTTTCACTTTCAAACCCTTTATTAGTTGTCCCCTTTATAAAAACCCCCAATTTCACTTTCAACACCCGTTACCCATTTTTGAATCAGCCTGAAAAATGGTTACAGTCCCCCAACTATAAAAATCCTTAAGTAGATGAAACTGTCTCTTACACTCCGGCATCCTCTACAGAACTTGCCCCCATAGACCAAGTACAGGAAAAACCATGCTACAAACATACAAAAAGCTTGTAGGTAGAAATAATGATATTCATAGTGTGCAATGCCAAAGGCCAAACTTACACTAAAAAAAATGCGCTGAGCTTATACAGCTATTTCGGAAAGGGTTGTCCACTTGGACTCGCGAAATCTTTTTTATTTTTTTATTTTTTTTATTTTTTATTTTTTTTACTGAACTGGACCTGTCAGAACTGAACTAGCGATGACAGCTGTACCTCCTCGGCTGTAGTTCAGTACAAAGAAAAATTTAAAAATTTTCAAAAAAAAAAAAAAAATTGCGAGAGACAACTGGACAACCCTTTCCGAAATAGCTGTATTTATGGTATTCAAAGTTGAAATGCATGAAATCATAGAGTGCATAAATCATATAATCATAAAACATTTTGGCTGGGAAAGCCAAAGCTTACATAATCAGATTACCAAGATCCCCTGCAAACAAGGTTTTATGATCTTATGATTTATGCGGTTATGATTTCATGCATTTCAACTTTGAATACCATAATTATGTGGGTATACAGCTGGGTTTGAAACTACATATCTATATACACTTAATTGAAAGATCTCAACAATTGTCACTACACAGTTGACTTTCTTTAAACATTGACTGATCATCCAGACCTCGGAGCCCCAGGCATGAAGTTATACATGTGAGTAGATCGAGTAGTAGCTGTTGGGCGGCTTGCAGGCTGTGACCATTGATGTTTGCACTGCCGGAATAGTAGAGGAGTACCGCCGTTCTTCTTGATTGGGATGTTCATGTGGAAGACCTGCCCACATTCGTTCCTGCTGCATTGCTGGATCTTCTTCTGGCGTAGGTATGTGCAAGCTACACTAGTGGGGTCTTTCTTATCGTACTGACCGCATTTTTCTTCAACCTCTCCAATCAGGTGACCAGTCCGATGCCCACAGCCTTCACACAAGACTGGGTCCACGGCGATGGAGATGCCGGCGAGGACTAGAGCTAGTGCAAGGATGTGGATGAGCTTCATGTTTCAAGTTCTGATGTTTCGACGAGCCGAGATTGATGACTGCGGTAAGAGTCGAACTTGGGTTGTCTGTTGTGTTTGATGGTCGTTAATTGATTTGTATTTTACCGACGGGGTTCGCTGACCGTTGTCCTAAGTATAGGATACTGGAGCCGGTCGACTTTGCCAATCTCTGCCAGTCCCGTCGATGGCCACCGCCGGCGCCAGGCCAGCAGCCACTCGCCGAGCGGCTATGTACATAGCTTACATAAGCCTCTGCGCCGGCGCCACCGCCTCTTCGGTCGCAGCCACACCGAACTCAAACGGACAACACCAGTCACCACCAACCAGACACCGAGCAGTCAGGACTACCAATCTCTACTGAGAACCATGGGCCGAAGAAATCGACAACCGACCAGATCAGCTCATCAAGAGCGGAGGGAGACGAGTACCACCACCACTGTCCAACAACTCATACGACAACCGACTCTGCCGGACTGCTCCAAAACCCTTTCCTCCATCATCATGACCCCGCATACATCAAACGATATCGGCACCCATCCCTACATGACAGCTACGAGATCCCAGACCACCATCATCCATACAACTTCCGCATCCGTCCCACCGCCACCCAACAGTCGCCTTCTGTCTTGATCTCCTCACCCGCAAGGAGGGCCCGACTGAGCATCGAACAGTCCTACATAGCTCTCCCCCTCCACCCGTCACCACCATCTTCCGAGCATCCATACAGATCCGCTGGAAAGCAGCAACCGTCGTCCCGATAATCTGGCGCTCTGTTTCCCAGGCTCTAGCTCTCAATATATCGGCATGGGCTCCGTTCCACTCAACGATAAAGAATTCAATCTGGTCTGGAATGAAGCCCTCGATCATCCTAGCCTCCTTCGAACAATGGATGAAATCACTCAACCTCCTCGACCATTTCCTCTCCCTTGGGTACTCCCCTCAACACGCCGCTCTCCTCGGCGATCCCCCTCCCCCTTCTCCTACTCCTAACCAACCAAACCTACGCGATATCGTCCTACATGCCCCTCAAAACGAACACAGTTATAGATGCTACAATGCTCAGCCTGCTATTCCAATCACCAGTATGGCTTATCTAAGCACATTAGAGGTATATCTATATATCTATATATGTGTATATTTACATAAAAAAAACAGATACTGATGAAATATATTTGAATATTTATAAGTCGAAGGCAAGGTTCCAGTGAGGAAGATGGCAAAAGTACATGCGGGACATTCGTCGGGCGAATACACAGCCTGTGTGGCCTCGAACGCGATCGATTTCAAGAGCGGGATCTATCTGACACGATTACATATATGGATTATTGAGCGAACGATCGATGCGCTTAGCCGGACTAGCACCCTCAACAACTACACCTAAACTCAAAACAACAATATTATCATCATCATCATCCTCAAATCAACAGAAGAAGAGGAAGGGGAAGGACGAGGGATGAAAGCTCAGATGTCTGCGTTATTGATTAACGAGAAATACCAGGCTTCATTAGGCCAAAAGACGTATGATTATCGAGAATTAATCGGCCTAATCGACTGGGCTAATGCGCTTTATGTCCCGGATAATGTTTATGATGATCGGAAGAGGATGGCGAGCAAGAGAGCATCTTTGGGGGTTCAAATAGGGAGCTTTAGCTCGAGCAATCGGATCGTTCTTTCGGGTACCCGAGCAGGAGTCTTAGCCGCATGCGGATACCTCAACGAACTGGAGATCGCCCATCGAGCTGCCAACTTCCCTTGCTCGTAAGTCTCTCTATCTCCGGTGCCCCCCTTTTTTCGTTCGCCCCATTCATCCCATATATACGTAAGAGAGAAAGAATCGGAGAGACAGAGAGAGAGATTTTATGGGCGTGGAAAGGTCTCCGTTGCATAGTCACACTTCATGAGTCCAGCGGCCGAAGGAATGAAACTCGGAGTCAATGCGGTCCGGTTCGCTGTCCCAGCCCGATCTTAGTTACCCGAAACAGTTCCCTCTCCTCCCCCTCCACTTCGACTTCCAGTTTCTCCTTAGGATCCACAGGGTCTACAGAGAGATGGAAGAGAAGAAAGACAGACTCGGGCGAGGCGGTGATGCAGACCGCTTACATCAGCACCCTTAATGAAGACCTCGAAAGCCTTAAAACTCAGTTCTCTGATTCGATTTGTAGACCCGTTTGGTGGGCGGAAACGGTTAAGGAACCTCTCCTCCTCCATTTTCATCCCTTCATCTTCATCTGCTTCTGCTTCTTCAACCTTATATGTAGTCAGATTTGAGTGGAGATTTGAAAGAGGCTGAGCTTTCTCGGTCTCAGCTTCAGTTGCTTTTCGTCGGCCCGGGAAAAGCTCTCTCGAACCTCTGTAAAAAAACAGATCGCTTTTAATACCCTTCATCCTCCTACTCTTACCACTCCTACCACTCCTACTACTCCTACTACTCCTACTACTCCTACTACTACTTCTTCTTCTAACAATCTGAAAGCTTCTCCTCTAAAGTCATTGCGCGTAGCTTGGCTACTGTTGATGATTTCAACGCTTTCAAAGTTTCTGATTAACATTTTCTCCCTTTTTTTTCTTTTCTTCTCTATTTACATCTTTTCTTTTTTTTTTTCTCTCTCTTTTGTTTCTTTAATCAGTCATTTACTCTACTCTTCTTTTTTCTCATGTTGTATCTCCCTGTTACAGGAAATTATAATTTTTCCTTTTCTCTTCTCTTATTTACTTCCTGTTGATTGTATTTATCGCTCATTCTGATTGTTCATTTTCATTGTAAAATCTATATGTTGATAACAGCAATGGGTCGCTTTTTTTGGTTCTTTGTATGCATGTTTTTTTTATGTTTCAATTCTCTTGTGTTTGTATTTATGTAGACTTCTCTCTCATGAACAGTTGTTGATTATGAAACTTTTTGATCATTTTATTGAACCAATCAAAACAAACTATAGTTAAGTCAGCCACCTGATCGGGTCCCAGCAACACCCTCATGACCCGGCGCACCTCACCTTAGCTACCCGAGCGGCCCCTCGGCTACCGACATCCCTCCCAACGGCCAACCAAGCGCAGTCAACTTGGATCAGCCTTGACTCTCTTGTCAAGCTGTCTACTGGCCATCATCCACAGCCGGTCCCTACCCTGTCATACCCCAGCCCAACTCGTCCAAGTCAACAGGGCATGAGTTCTCACAACCTGAACTAGAAGTTCAATTCAATCACAAAACCCATCGTCGGCCTGGTTTTCCCCTCGCCCAATAAAACACTCAATACCCAAAAGCTTCCTCATACCCTCTCAACTCGTTCCTCGCTCGGCTACAGCATTTGGGTACCTTAGCATTGTCCGAAATGGCACCGCCACCTCAAAGACGTACCAAGGCTGTCAAGAAAGGCATCCAATTTGTAGGTCTCTAGTTTGTCTCTCAAGAAAGCCTTTCTTTGGGTATCTTGGCGCTAACTGGAATTTTTCTTGCCACCTTGCTTGTCGGGGTCTCTAGAACTTGATGGTAGGCCATCAAAGCTACAAGCAATATGCACAGATTTAAGGTGATCAACTGATCTATATATTCCCATTTTATTGTGATAAATATCCAGGTCGTAGGTGCAGCAGGCACCGGTCGCACCACTTTCGTCAACACCCTCGTAGAACGTAAAGACTGGCTACAGCACACGGATCACACTGATCCGGCCGTTGCACATGGTCAGTCAATAAAACAGAAAATCCACATCACGTCTTCAAAGTCCACATATTTATTAATTTATCCATTAATTTCATTTGACAGAAAGCCGCGCATTTATTGAGATTCACAAGCAAACGATTGAACTAGAACAAGGGAGTATTCCCGTGCGTTTAACGGTCTGTGACACCCCAGGATTTGGAGATAATATCGACAACGAGTCGGCGTTTTCGGCGATCTCCGACTACCTAGAGAAACAATACGACGATCTATTAGCTGAAGAATCGCGCATCAAACGGAACGCGAGACTCGAAGATAGTCGGGTACATGCATTGCTCTACTTCATCACTCCCACTGGCCATAGGTCAGCCCTTTCCCTTACCATCGTTATCCAGCCGCTTCTCTCTGCTTATTTATGTTCACCTCTCTGGCTTTTATGACCAGCTTGAGGGAAATGGATATTGAGTTGATGAAACGACTGTCCCCTCGGGTTAACGTGATTCCAGTCATCGGCAAGGCTGATAGCTTCACTCCCAGCGAATTGAAGGGCTTCAAAGAAAGGGTTTGTTACACTGCTTCATCCTCGTATTCTTACAGATGACTGATTCTAGCAAATTATGTGAACCTGGTTTCTCGCACAGGTCATGCAAGACATTGAGCACTATGAAATCCCAATCTACAATTTTCCCTTTGACCCGGAAGAAGACGATGATGAAGTGATTGCTCAAAACTCGGAATTGAGGGTCAGTCTCAGTCCTTACTTAGCTCAAGAAGCCATCTGAATCGGTGCATTTGACATGAGTTGTATGCGTGTGTGTACTCTTTAGGCCATCTTACCATTTGCTATCGTGGGATCAGAAGATGAAATCGAAGTCGGGGGCAGAATGATCCGAGCGAGAAAGTATCCATGGGGAATCATCGAGATCGATAACCCAGCCCACACTGATTTTCTGAAATTAAAGAACACATTGCTAGCAACCCATTTGACTGACCTCAAGGAAATTACACACGATGTATGTTGAATCGCTTCATTAAGTTTACTTTCAAGTTGAATAAGTTTAACTGATCATCAATTTTTGAATTCATTAACCATCCTTACAACCCGTATGTATAGTTCCTGTATGAGAACTACAGAGAACAAGCCTTGAGTCGAGGGAATCACAGTCAAGCAGTTGACCAGCCGATTCCCTCGGTCGATCTTGCCAACCGGGCCTTCAAAGTCAAAGAGGACCAATTAAGGAAGGAGGCCGAGAAGTTGAAAGAGATCGAGCTACGTGTGCAGCGAGAAATGAGCGAGAAGCGTCAAGAGCTGATCGCCAAAGAAGAGAGTCTTCGGAGTATGGAGGTATGGACCTGGCTTACCACTCCTAGAGATGTACATTATCTGACTACCTCTTGCCGCCGTCTCATTTAGGCTCGTTTGGCTCAAAGCATGGGCGAGAGTCCCAGCCGATCTAACTGATTACAAAAGAATCAAATACCTTCCGATCGATCTTAGGATTCTCTTGATTCCCTCCCTCAGATTTCCATATGATTCTCTCATGGCCTCTGTAGTTCATTCAATGTTGTTGTCATATGGTCGTTCTTACTTAACCAAGGATTGTCATTATACCTCTCATCTTACATACCTTCCCATGAAGCACTTCTTTCCTTTCTTCTCAATTTTTTGCAATTGCTCCATCTCCTTGATCTCGTTCTTTGTTTGACTCCATTGTAAAAAATAGTTGGTTTCCGGAATCAGTTGGAAGGGTTTTTGTTGTGGTTGTAGTTGTCATCTGCCCTGGATTGTTTTTTTTTCCCTTTTTTACACATACAACATAGTTTGCTTGTGTTATTGACTCACGAAAGATGCAGGAATTGTTTCCTGGTTGTTGTTTATATCTAGTACTTGGACATTGGAATCATGGTAAATAGTGTGCACACCAAAATCCATGTTTGATTCATCTAAAATTAAGCAGGAGAAAACTTGGAATGTGTTCAAGTGTTGAGCTCCAGATCAGCAAACAGGATCATGAAAGAAAGCAAGAACGGGAAAGAAAGAGGATAAGAAACAAAGCCTGGACTACCGGGCGTTCATCTGACTGCTTTGTAACCCTGCAGGTGGGTGATGAGGTTTCTCAGGGTTTGTCCCTGGTGCGGGGGAATTAAAGCTTTTGGATGAGTGGACGCATACATCCAGCTTGGTCGGTCTTCGGCGGCCTAACCCCGAAGTTCTCAAGCTGACCCACCGGGCCACCACCACCCTGAAAGCAGCTGAAAACCATAAACTTCTCTTGACCGTCATTCAACCCTAGAGAATCCTTACCCTCGGTCATCCTCGCCGATACCCTCTTAAGCTTGCTCGTTTCATCCACTTTATCATCGACATGCCACCACCACCCCACAGGCGTCAGAAATCGGTCAAGAAGGGCATCCAATTCGTTCGTCTTAATCTGACTTTTTCTCTCTTTTCCGCGGGTGATCGTTGAACTCATGCACAAATGACTCGCTTAAATATGTCTACATAGACCTTGATGGTATGTAGCTCATCAACATCTTTCATGGCTATCGTCTTGCGGAGAGGTAGATTATGTCCTTAATTTCATCTACTTACACAACCACCCCACCTGGATAGGTGGTCGGCGCATCAGGTTCTGGTCGCACCACTTTTGTCAACACCCTTGTAGAACAAAAGGGATGGTTGAATCATTCTGAACCGGTTGATGCCGCCAATGCCCATGGTCAGTCGATCAATCAGGCTCTTATTTACACTTGTTGTCCAGAACCAACATCATGTTAATGTCATTCCCCCATTAAAATAACCCACTCACCTCTTAGAGCCACAGCCATTCATCAAAGTCCAAAAGCAGACTATCGAATTAGAACAAGACGGTATCCCCGTGCGGTTAACAGTCTGCGATACACCTGGATTCGGTGATAACATCGATAACGAATCGGCCTTCTCGACGATCTCGGATTATTTGGAAAAACAATGCCATGATATCTTGGGCGAGGAATCGCGAATCAAACGAAACGCCAGGCTCGAAGATAATCGGGTCCACGCTTTACTTTATTTCATTCCTCCCACAGGTCACAGGTGAGACTTGCTGCTACTTCATAATATCGAGTATCGTCTATGCATTGACATTGACCTGACTGGATTCGCAGCTTGAGAGAAATGGACATCGAGTTAATGAAGCGACTATCCCCACTGGTGAACGTCATTCCCGTTATTGGTAAGGCTGACAGCCTTACTGTTAGCGAATTAAAAGGGTTCAAGGAGCGGGTTGGTTATATTCCGGCTCTTCAGTACTTTTTTTTTTCAATTCTGCTTTTGGGGGTGGTGATTTGCTGATGAATACAACTCCTTGAACACGGCCAACCCAGATTATGCAAGACATCGAACACTACGACATCCCCATTTACAACTTCCCCTTTGACCCGGAAGAGGATGACGATGAAGTAATTGCTGAAAACTCGGAGTTAAGAGTGTGTCTCAGCCCCCAATCGTTGTCTTGCATCTAAATAATGTCACAGAACCTCCTAATTCTGATTATCTGATTTCGTATGTGTTGTTCAGGCCTCATTGCCATTTGCACTTGTAGGGTCAGAGGAGGAAGTCGAAGTTGGCGGTGAAATGATCCGAGCGAGGAAGTACCCGTGGGGGATCGTCGAGATCGATAACCCGGCTCACACTGATTTCCTCAAGTTGAGGAACACTCTACTATCGACTCATTTGACTGATCTCAAGGAGATCACTGTTGATGTGAGCTCATCTGTTTCTCTACCGCATCTATACTCGCTTGAGGATGATTCTTTTTTGCTGATCTTAATCTTGTGATTCTCAGTTCCTATACGAGAACTACCGAGAGAAAGCTTTAAGTCGAGGCACTCCACATGCAGCCGACGAGTCCATACCACCTGATGATATCGTCAATCGATCCTTCAAGCTCAAAGAGGAACAGTTAAGGAAAGAAGAAGAGAAGTTGAAGGAGATCGAACTCCGCGTTCAACGTGAGATCAGCGAGAAACGTCAAGAACTCTTGGCGAGAGAAGAAAGTCTTCGAAATATGGAGGTATGTTCCTACTGCAAAACAACAGTTCTTTTATGGACGGATGCCGTCTGACAATTTTTGTTCATCTAGGCTCGTTTGGCACAAAGTGCTAACGAGATTACTCCGAGATAAACAACATATTGAGATACCATATAAGCAGTCTTTACATCGATTGCTTTTATTTCCATGAAAATTCACACGTTTCACTCCACTTCATTTTTATCATCTTCTCGTTCTTCCCCCTTTCAAAGATTAAAATATCCAATTTACCAGCTATTTATTATCAAAATGGTACACATTCTGCTTAGGTGACCTCACAAATGATTGTCTTGTAGAATTCTTTCAGGAAATGATGGGTTGGCTTGTTCACTTTTTCTTCAATTGTTGGATCCCAATACCCATTGATAGCTTGCTTGAATTGTTTGTTCTTGGTCATCCCTATATTTCGAGGCTTGTTTTCTATTTATTGATCTATTCTTCTTCTTCTGGTGTTTTGCACTTCTAAGTCGTTGGGATCCATGTCCTGGACTCATTGTTAGGTTCATGCCTTGAAATCCAATTAAATTATGGTATATATACATGCTACTGGAAACTGGACCATTCAGTCTTTATGGAGCAGGCAAGACACAAGCCAATGTCAGTTCAAAAGAAGAAGAAAAATGAGCACCTATAACATGCCTCTGGAAAATTGTGATGGCCCTGCTCAAAGTTGTTTTGGGTACTATAACTCAACATCTGTCCCTAAATTGGGTCCCTCTTCACAGTTTATGAATCCCAAAAATCATCACCCACCGCATCGCAGTTTGTGTCCGTATTTCACGGTCATCTCTGAATATCATGACCAAGTGGGACTTGCTAGGGCCTCACATCATGGGACTGTATAACCCATCTCATGAGAATTTTGTTGGGTTTCACAGTCTTTTTCATTCTGTCTCTGAAGTTGTCTGCTTCCAATCTGTTCATCTTTTTCTGACATGCAACATATCTGTGACACTCTAGGTCAGCTGTCAGTTCTCAAGTAAGTTCACATCCCTCCTCAAACTGCCTGTCTGCCCTAGGTGAATCTTTTTTTCCTTTCCTTTCCTTTCTCTTTTCTTTTCCTTTGCTTCTTTTGTTATGTTAATGAGTCTAATCGTTCCTCAAACTGCCTGCCTGATTGCAACAAATTTTGCTTGTCATTGCTCCAACTCTGAGTGACAGCTCAACAACACTGCTTGGTGTGGCAGAATAACATCTCAGGTTGCTATTGTCACTTGTTGTATTGAGTGTGTACATACAGACCCAATTTACACAGGCAGTAAAGTGGGTCCCTAGGTGTAAGTTGGAATTTAACTACTCAACATGACCCACTGCATGCAGCCACTATTTGTGTCTAGATTACCTACATGAAGGGACTCCTAGGGACGGGAGGACTTCCCATCAAAATCTGTGGGTCCCCCAGTTTTGATTGGGGACCTTGGAAGCTAGAATTCCCTGCAAAAATCTAGACTTTTTTGGCTCTAATTTGAAAACTGGGAGGGCCCCAGATCCAACGGGAAATCCTCCACTCTTCTGTCATCTTTCCAATCCCCTTTCACATAGCAACCAGATTGTGAAACTCTACTCCTCAACCTTGATTGATTGCAACTTCACACCACTCATTGCCCAAGTATACAACATCAACCTGTGGTCCTTGGATCATCCAATTATCAAACTTGCAGATCAATCAAGCCTTGAGAACTGGTGAATGGTCAAAGACTTTATCAACAGGATTACACTTTCCACTGACTCGCTCATACCAGTCATTGGATAGATTAGGACCCAGGAAACCCCCTCTAGAGGTGGGTAACCAAAATGTATGAATTTTTGGGGAAATCCCAAAATCATACACATGAAAGAGGTATGAATCCACTCAAAAACCTGACATGGTATGCACAAAAATGGTTCAAAATGTACAATTTTTGGCCCAATCTTGAGGAAAGCCTGCCTAATTGACACATCCCCAAATTTGCATTCAAATAAAATTTGTATATGGTACAAATTATGCAAGAAACAGGGTACGCTCATCTATTAAGATTGAAGCTTGTATTTTGAGTGAATTTGGACTTCACCATTCAATTCTAAACATTTGGAAATGTAGGAAATAAATTTAAAATAAAAAAAAAATGCTTAAAATCAGGCCAGTAAAAATCAATCAAAAAAACATTAAAAAAAGCCTGTCCACTGCAGTATTCAGTAACAAGCGCTGATTTTTATGTAAAATGGTTGTTACCATCATTTTTATCATGTATTAAAGTGTGGGAAATAAACTTAAAATGTCAAAAAATAGTGAGAAATAACATGTAAAGAATTAATTGAAAAAAGTGTCTAGTTTCAGTATTAAAAATGAACTGTTGAGTTTTAAGAAAATTGGATGTTACCATTAAATTCTAAACACTTTTAAATGTATGAAAAAACTTTAAAATTCAAAAAAGCATAGAAAA